AAAGGCTCTGCATCAGCTCGGGTCCTGCAGGAAGCAGACACCAAAGCAAACACCAAAGCAGACACCAAAGCAGAGTCAGCAGTGGAAAAGATGTACTGGAGGGAATGGTTGCATGAGTTAAAGGCAGGAGGGAGCCGGGGTAGGCATAGAAACACTTCAGACCATGATTCAGTCTGTCATCTATGAAGGGAGAGAGAGATAACAAAGAAAATCAGATAGCAAGAGCCTCAAACTGCAGTGCAGCTCTGAGAAGGTCTCAGCCAGCCCACTGGGTGCTCCAGTAGGTGCTCCAGCACAAAGACGGCCTGCAGAGGAGTCTTGCACTGGGTAGAAACATGCAGCCCTGGAAGCCCCGCTTGGCTCAGTCCCAGATGGTTCAACACTGCAGTGGGTCCTGGGAGCCCGCAGCTGCCAGCTGAATGCACTCCTCCCGGAAGGTTCTCTCCTGTAGGGATGCTCCCGCAGGACAGCCACCAGGCTCCCTCACACCTCAGGTTTCCTCCACGGGGACAGATGAGTGGGGAGGGACACTGAATCCACACTCTGTTGTTCTTTTTTACAGGTGCAAAAGCTTGCAGGACCAAAGATAACTAGTAATTTACTTTTAGAGAAAGCACATGTAACAAAACCATTGCCCTGCAGCATTAACCGTATCCGATGTGATCATTGCAGCAGGCAGGTGTTGTGGTCACCCCAGCATCTCCTTGGAGAGCCACCCTTCTGTCATTCTTGGTCATGTTGCTCTGGTGGCACTATCCTCACCCCTGGCTTTCAGGAGGGCAGGTCACCTAGGTGTGGCTAACCAGGACATTTCAGTCTCAGGTTAAGTGATGGGTTGAGAGATAAGCATGTGACCTTAGCCATGTAAATCAAAGCCCTGTCAGAAAAACAGTCAGGAAACAGGTTCTCTCTGATCTTTGCAATCACTGGCAGTGCCATGGACCCAGGTACCATGTGCCAAGGGTCCGCTGGGCATGAGGCTAACAGAAGAGAGTAGAGCTGTGAGAGGCAGAGACCTAAGGCCAAGCTAAAGAATTTTTTAAAAAAGGGGAAATCCAAAAGAGTTTATCATTAACAAAATTTTACAGAAAAAATTGTTAAGATATGTGTTTTTTCTAGAAGGAAATAGAAATCAGAAAATTCTAGAAAGAATGGTAAGCAAGGAAATTGATCTTTCTAAAAGGTAAGCAAATCTAAACCAGCATTTACAAGTCAATAATAAAGCAATAAATCCATTAAATCCTATTGATTAATTTGGGATAAAAACAAGGTCAGAAGTAAATAATAGACAACAATAACACATAAGATCAAAGGAGGGAGGCCCAGGGTTAAAGTAGTCTAAGGTTTTTTTCAGAAAGAGTCTAGACATATAATTTAACTTTATCCTTTGTTTAGTTAAGATGTATGTTAAAATTAAGGGCAAGCACTAGAAGGTTAAAAATATAAAATAACTTCCGATGGTTAGAGGGGAAAAAGAAGACTACAGGAAATGCAATCAAAATAAAACATAAGAAAAGGGATGTTGAGAAGAAGAATAAAAAATGCAAATAGAAAGCACAAAGAAGGTGAAAGGACTAAATCCAAATATATCAGTCTCCAAAATAAATATAGACTAAACCCTTCAGTTGCAGACAAAATTGTTCTCAAGTATGGGGAAGAACCTATATAAGATGAGCCTGGAACACATTATTATACCAGAAAGCAAGAAAGTTATAGAAGACTAATGAAGGTCACATCAAAAGGATTCCAGAGCCCATCTGAGGCTCCCAAAGTTGGGACAATGTGAGCATCAATAAGAATAACTGCAATGAATAGAAACACAGAAAATATATTTGCAATATAAATCACACAAAATCTATTAGTAAACATATAAGCAAAAGACTATAATGAAGTGAAATATGTCAAATATATCATAATGGTAATTTTTAAATGATCATTTTTAAGAAAATTAACTCATTTAAAAAAACTAATCAAAAAAAGGGGAAAAAATCATGCATCTATCCTACCTTTCCTATGCAAACAATGCCTCAAGGTAACCAAATAATTGATAGGGAAAGTTTCTCCTTATTAAATAAACTCATCTATAAAATGAAGAAGTGTTAGAGAATTGGAATTAAACAAAGAATACAGAATTACCATTTTGCAACCATTTTGAATGGTAAATTCACCCCAAAAGTCAACAACTTTTTCTTGAAGGCCATGTAGTACTTTAGACTTCACAGGCCCATGGTCTTTGTGATAACTACTCAACCCTACTGTTGTAGCCCGAAAGCAGCCATGGACAATATGTGAGTGAATAGGCATGGCTGAATTCCAATAAAATTTTATCTATAAAAATAGGCAGTGGTCAGAATTTGGCTCTCAGGCCACCATAGTTTGCTGACCCCTGATCTAGTTGGTGGTCATCAGTGTTTGCTAACATCATAGAGAGGCCACCATACTAACCAGGCACTCTCAAGCACAATGCAACTAATTTAAAAAGCAATTGCAAAACAAAATCATATTCAGAAATGTTGAAATACACTTCCAAAGATCTTAAAAATCAATTAATAAAAATGGAAATTAGGCCAGGTGAGGTGGCTCACGCCTGTAATCCTAGCATTCTGGGAGGCCGAGGCGGGTGGATCATTTGAGCTCAGAAGTTCGAGACCAGCCTGAGCAAGAGTGAGACCCTGTCTCTACTAAAAAAAATAGAAAGAAATTAGCTGAACAACTAAAAATATATAGAAAAAATTAGCCAGGCATGGTGGCACGTGCCTGTAGTCCCTGCTACTTGGGAGGCTGAGGCAGAAGGATCCCTTGAGCCCAGGAGTCTGAGGTTGCTATGTGCTAGGCTGACGCCACGGCACTCTAGCCCAGGCCACAGAGTGAGACTCTGTCTCAAAAAAAAAAAAAAAAAAAATGGAAATTAGAAAATATTTAGAACAAAATGATAACAAAAAACACTGTACATCAAACTTGTGTAATTCAGCTAAAGTGGTACTTAGAGGGAAATTATAGCCTTTAATGTTACATTGGAAAAGAAGAAAGATTGAAAATTAATTGAGCTAAGCTTGTGAACATTTAGGGAAAGAACAACAGAATAAAGCCAAAGAAAGTAGATAAAACTACATAATAAAGACAAGAGGGGAAAAAAAAAGACAAGAGGAGAAGTTAGTAATTTGGAAACAAAACTACAAAACAGAGACAAAAGGAGAGCCAAAAGCTGAATATTTGAAAAGAACAATAAAACAGACACAGCAAGAAAACCAGTTACACCCACACTTCAAACAATCAGCATAGAAAGGAACCAAGAGATTTCACATTAAGAATACTGCAAATGACAGATTAGAAAGATTAGGAAGGAAGGCAATGTTTTTTTAACTAATGATAGCAAACGACTAGGACTTATTCGGTCTGGGGATTCTCAATATTTTACCTAAGTGCCTATAATCCTTTGTGATTTATTTAGAATCCGCTCTTTTATATCCACTTCTGCCTCTTTAGTTCCCTTTAGTTCCCTCTTTAGTTCCTGAACTTCCCTCCTCACTCTCAGCTGATTGATAACCTCACCTCAACATCATCAAGGAAATAGAAACCACAAGTGGCAGTCCCCTCGCTCTACTCACTTCCCTAAATTTACTAACCCTACCTGCTCTGTACCCATTTTTCTACAAGCCCAAACCCTTACAGCCATGTTTGCATTCACCTTTCCTGGCCTTCTTTTTCCTAACTAGTGTTTGCAGTTATTTCTTCACAATGTCCTTCCCCGTGGGTTTGCTCCATCCCACCAACAACCTCATTAACACACAAGTGAACAGGTGCAGCCACCTCTTACCCTGGCTCCCTGGCTCCTGTCATTTTCCCCCAGTCACCATGGCAACCACAGACAATTTAATTTCCATTTTTAAAAAATTAAATAGAAAAAAAAAACTAATCATGCTTTCCTGCTTTAAAGCTATCCACAACTCCCTCCTGCTGGTCACATGAAGACCAAGCTTGAAGCTGGCCATTTGAGCCTTTCCCTTCCCACCCAGCCCTTCCCCTCTGCACTCCTGCCCTGCCAGGACACCGCCCTGCTGGGCCACACTTGCTGCAGCTCTCCACCTCTGCTCATCAAGGACTCCCTCCTGGGATCCTTCTACTTCTCCTACTTTTCCCCCAAACTCCCATGAACTTCAATCTATATAAAGTATCAAGGGCCTCATTTATAAAATATGAGTCATTTCTGCAAATAGCAAGACATTATTCTTTCATCAAATATGGATTGAGCATTTTCACCTAAAGACTTTTATTAGAATATATGTATGTATTATATATTCTAATATATAATCTGTTATATAATATACAATTGACCCTTGAACAACATAAGTTTGAACTGCACAGGTTCACTTATATGAGATTTTCTTCCTCCTCTGCCATCCCTGAGACAAGACCCACCCCTCCTCTTCCTCCTCCTCCTCCTCCTCAGCCTACTCAACATGAAGACAATGAGGATGAAAACTTTTATGGTAATCCACTCCCACTTAATGAATAGTAAATATATTTTCTCTTCCTTATGATGGTCTTAATAATATTTTCTTTTCTCTATCTTACTTTATTGTAAGAATATGGTATATAATACATATAACATGCAAATATATGTTAATCCACTGTTTATGTTATTGGTGAGGTTTCCAGTCAACAGACTATAGTAGTTAAGGTTTGAGGAGTCAAAAGTTATATGTGGACTTACAGCTGCATGAAGGGTTGGCCTCCTAACCCCCATGTTGTTCAAAAGTCACGTGTGTGTGTATGTGTGTGTGTATGCTTATCGACCCTATACATAATAACCAAAAACTTGACACAACCCAAATAAGAATGAACAAATAAATTGTAACATATGTATAGAATGAAATATTCTACAGTACTGAGAATAAACAAGCAAATAATATAGGGCATATATACATATAATTCTATCCATACAAAGTCTGAAACCAGCAACACTAATCTCTGGAATTATATATCAAGGTAGTAGCTACCATAGACAGGATGAGAGGAGGAGCTGGTGGCTGCAACAGGAAATTATGGAGGCTTCTGGGAGAATAGCAGTTCTGCTTCTTGAGCTGGGTACTGGTTACAGGGTGTGTTCCCTTTGTAAAAAAAAAAATGCATCAAGCTGTATATTTATGATTTGTGCACTTTTTTGTACATGTTAAACTTTAACAAAATATCAACCTTAAAAATGCAGTGAGTATCCACTATGTGCTAAGCACAGGGTTAGAGGCACTGGGGACACAAAGAGAATGTTGGTCCCTCAAGGGCTAGAAGCTAGTGCAAAAGACAGGTGAGCACCACGACAGGCGTTACCACACAGTGAGAAAGCAAAGATTGAGGTAAGCATGGAGTGCAACCCACTCCAGCTCTTTGAACCTCAGTTTCCTCATCTGTAAAATGGGAATGATATTTCCTCCCTCACTGAGCTACATAAGAATTATCTTAGTCCATTTTGTGCTGCTATAAAGAAATATCTGAGGCTGAGTAATTTATAAAGAAAACAGTTTATTTGGCTCATTATTCTGATGGCTGGAAAGTTGAAGATTGAGCATCTGCATCTGGTGAGGGCCCCAGGCTGCCCTCACTCATGGTGGAAGGCGAAGGGGAACTGGCTCATGCAGAGATCACGTGGCCAGAGGGGAAGCTGGAGAGAAGGGAAGGGGGTGCCAGGCTCTCTTTAACAACCAGCTCTTGCAAGAATGAATAGAGTGGGAACTCACCCCAAGGGAGGGCATTAATCTATTCATGAGGGATCCACCCCCATGCCACATATACCTCCCACCAGACCCCACCTCCAACACTGAGGATCAAATATCAACATGAGGCTTGCAGGGGACAAATATCCAAACCATAGCAAGGATCGGGATAGAATCCAACATACAATATAGATGAACACGCCCCATAGAGTGCCTGGAGCATAGCAGGTGTCCAACAAAGGTTGCTTATCTCTGGATCCCTTCTCAGCATGGAAATTCCAGAAATTCTTCAAAGATAGAGGCTTCTCGCTCTCCCCCAACCCGCACCCCACACACACACACAGGGACACACACACTCACACGTAAACATGCACATATACACACACTGCTAGTCACGGCCTGTTGGGTTAAGACACCAGCATAAAATCTATATTTAACTTCAAAGTTGTTCTTGGTCATTCTCTCTCATTTCTAAAAACTCCTGGGTTCTCATAACCACCCACCTGCATAGCTCTGAGCTGTTCCCAGTCAGAAGACACATCGATTTCCTCTGCTGCCTGGTGCCAGACAGCAGCCCAAAGCACCACCAAAAAGTACCATTGAGGCAAATGACCCGAGTCCTGATGTACCTGGCTAAGAAATGAATGGCTTCCTCTCCAGGCACTTTCTCTTTCTTCTCTTCCCAATCTGATGAAAACAATTATTAATATTAATGTTTATAAATGAAAAGGGAGCATGGGTAGACTGTGCCAGGTTTGGAGGCCGTAGGCCCAGCTGGCTTCATCTGACAGCAGTCCCATGCTATACAACAGTGGAAACAGACAGTGGCCTCAGTCCGCAGACCACAGAGTCACTACATGATCTTGAACAGATCCCCAAATCTGTGGTCAGGATGCAGGGCACTCCTTCTTGGCGCCACCCAGGAGACGTGAGCCCTCGCTGGGAAGAAAATTCACTATAGCAAGTCAGAGGCCACATATCTGTGCAAGGAGCCAGTACAACACCTTCACCTTTTTGGTTCCCTCTCCAAAATCTCTCTCAAACCTTACCCCTTCCTCCCTTCTCTCTTACCAAAACCTGAGCCCCCATCATTTCTCACCTGCACTTCTAAAATTGCCTCCTCTTCTGTCTTTCTGATTTCCTTCTGGCCCTGGCAGCCACCCCAGCGTCCCTTCATCCCCTCAAGCCACAGAGCTCCGTCCACACGTGGCAGTATGGAGGCAGAGATCAGATGATGCATCTACAAGCTGAGGAACACCAAGGATCACCTGCCTTGCCCCATCCCCTCTCTTCACTTAAATCCTACTTATCCTGCAGATTTCTGCTTCATTGTCACCTTCCTAAAATCCTTACTGACCCTTCCCCAGTCTAAACTCGAGTCCTATCCTGTCATTCTCCCCTTATAACCAACACCATTTGCAAGTATCTGTTGATCTGTGTATTTGTTTGCATATCTGTCTCCTTCACTGCTAGACAGTAGACTCCACGAAGTCAGAAACTGTGTTTTCCTCAAACACTGTAGGTGGTCCATATTATTTGAAGGATTGAATGACTGATTGAGCATCGATGGGGTTCTGGAAAAGGAACATTGCCAAACAACTTCAAGTTGCAAAATAAAAAGGCTTTTCCCTTCATTAGTGAAAAAAAGTTTGGAAGGCAATGGGTGAATTGCGGGGCTTTTTATTGCTTCAAGTTATGGGCTCATTCTGTGCTGAATGAGCACAGAACAGGACAAACCTGTCCTGCCACACACAAGCTATGTGACCTTTGGAAAGTTACTTCACCTCTTAGAGATCTAGTTTATTTCAAACAATGGGAAAAATAATACAATTTTGAATTATTGATAGAATCAGATAAAATAAAAGATATGAAAGTATTTATAGATTCTTAAAGCATGGGATATAGTTCATGGGGTCTAAGTTAAGGCAGTAATAGGAGGAGGAAAGTACTAGAAGTGTGCAAAGCCTGTGTCTGATGCAATCCACAAGGACATACATGTGCATGCACTGTCCTGGGTTGAACAGCGTTCCTCAAAAATTCATATGCACCTAGAATGTGTGAATGTGACCTTATTTGGAAGTAAGGTGTTTGCAGATGCAATCAAGTAAGGATGAAGTCATACTGAATTGGAATGGGCCCTAATCCAAGGCTTGATGTATTTATAAGGATAGAAAATTCTGAACATAGAGACACAAAGGAGAAGGCCATGTGCAGATGAAGGCAAAGATTGGAGTGATTCATCGACAAGTCAAGGAACACTGAGGATTGCCAGCAACCACAAGAAGCTAAGAAAGGATTCTCCATGATATCCTTCAGAGAGATCATGGCCATAATAACACTTTGAGTTTTGGACTTCTGGCCTCCAGAACTATGAAATAATAAATCTCTGCTGTTTTAACCCTACCACTTTGTTGGCAGCCCTAAGATGATATATCTAATATGCACACACACTTGCAATCTGCCATTTTAGATTCCTACAGGTGGCACATGCACCCCACCTTTGCCCTAGTGAGGCTTTGTAACCAAGGAAACAGCTCTAGTTCTTAGCCTTAAAAAGCTACCAAGATCTCTCAGCAAAAGATAAAGAACAAAGATGAATTGTTTCTCTGGAACTGCCTGCTCCTTGGGTGACGCTTGTCAATCTTCACGCCCCAGTTCCCTGCCTGCATATAATGCCATCCAAGGTTGTAGTGGCAGCAGCCAAGACCAACTTTCCCTGTCTCCTGGGGTCTGATCAACAGCTGGTGTTCCTCCTCCTTACTGCAAACCATTGGCAGAACAATTCCATCACAGATCCAAACTGATTCAGAAATAAGTGGCCAGGAATGATTTTTATTTGCAACCCCAAGTGTGTGCTTCTATACAAATGACCTACAAGGAGAAACTAGCCAAAGTGTTTTAGGTCACCTCCCCAGCAGGACACCAGCTGTGATTTCCTCTTCTTGATTGCACCTTAGAGATCAGGGACCAGAACCGCAGTCAGCACTCAGCAGTGACAGAAGGGAAGCCCCAGCTCATCGCCAAAGCCCACAGCTAGGGCTGTACCTTCCTCTGATGTGTCAGGTAGGAATGCCCCTTCCCTACACCTGCAATTCTTCCCCAAACATTTCTGGCCCTTTACTACTCCCCGCAGAGGTGGAATGAGTTTCCTGGTCTGGATACAACCGCCATTGGTCCACATTTCTCATTAGGGAGATCACTTATCAAAGGTGTTGAGTGACGGTCATTGGTCCCTTTGTCTTCCCCTGTCCACCCAGACCCATGGGCAGCAGAGCCTTGAGAAAGTGCAGTCTGCTCGGCAGAACCCAATTGACCTTGAGTAGACAATACTGGATAAGCAATAAGCAAGCCCATGGGGGCTCTATGCCCCCACGAATCTTCATCAATAATGAAAGTGGCATTTGGTCTCCACATCTTAGTCATTTGTGTGATTTCTCATTTGGTTGAGAACACGGGTGGTAAAGAGAGGTGCTCTTTCTTGCCTCCCCCCCCCCAATTGACCCTGAGATACAGTTGATTCTTGTTATTCATGGTAGTTATATTCTATAAAATTGTTGCAAATACTGAATTAGACAATACTGAACCATCACTCCTAGGGTAAATGTGTGTGTGTGTCTATATCCACAATACACACACACATCTATAGCTATATAGATAGATATACACACAGATCTCACATAGATTATAACCTTAAATCCTTAAAATAATACTGTTAGGTTATATTTTCTGTATTTTACAAAACAGAAACAAAATCCAGAGTGCTAAGTGACTTGCCTGAAGCCACCTCACTCACAGGGGAGCCAGAGCTGGATTCAGATCCAGTCCACCTGGCCCATTGTTGGAGCTTCCTGCAATGTACTGCACTGCTCTCTACACCCCCATCTCCTGCTCCTCTCTGGAGGAGAGCTCAAAAAGGTGACAGAGTGTTGCCTTGTTCAACCGCAGCTGGAAACATGCACACTAGAAAACTCTAATTCACTGCTGTGCGTGTGTCTACACATGACCACAAAAGTGCGTGAGTTGCTTTGGGGATTACACATAAATTTCAGTGAGTATGCAAATTCACAAATATGGAATGGTGACTAGTGAGGATGAACCGTGCGTTCACTGGCTTCGTGGTAAAAGGATTACACATCCACCTGTTGCTGGGTGACTTGCAGTGCCTCCCTGTGGGGAGGAGTATACTTCTCTGTCTGTTGTCACCAGACCCGGCCATGAGATTTGCTTTGGCCAGTGAAATGCAAGTGGCAATGACATACACCAATCTTAGAGAGAACTTCCAAGAATCATGGTTTTATCCACTTTCTTATTCTATTTCCTCTGCCACAAGAATAGCATGTTCCAGATAGGGCTGCTCCTTGAGCATGGATCCTAGAATGAAGAAGACACATGAATCATAG